AAGAACAAGGAATATTCCAAGTACTATATAAAGAACAAGGAATATTCAGTAAGGTGCGCGATTTCTTAATAAAACATTTATAATCAATATCATATTCTAGCCAAGAAATCGTCACAACATACACTTGTGTAACACTCTAGTCTAAGTGGGTTTTATGGATGCTATTTCACCTGTTCTTACTAATCCTTTTCATCCAACGTATTGTTTTTATCTTTCTGGCTGTACTCCTTACTTCTATTACACTTTGTCCTTTTCTTCCTTTTTTCCATCTAATAGGGTATGGGTGTGCATAAGATTGAAAGTATCAGTCAGACTCACACTCATATCCACACAGACCCTAATATACACGTATACACTGATAAAAGTATTTTCTTTCTAGAGAAAAAACAACAAAATATGACAGCAGTCATCGATTATCGTCCTGTTAACGAAAACGAACAACAACAAGCCATTAGTTTATGGGAACAGATATTTCCTCAGTTTCCTTCAGGTTTTTTTTCACGTTACTACTCATCAGCTGCACCATCTTACCGGTTCGGTGATACATTAGGTGCCTGGTGCAATGGGTCTCTTGTCAGTACTGTGCATATTCATCGATTACCGCTATGTAATGGTAATGAAACATATGTGTGTGGTGGTATTGCTTGTGTAGCTACATTACCTGAATATAGAGAACGTGGTATTTCTCGCTATTTGCTGGGACAAGCAATCGATAAAATGAAAAATGAAAGTTATCATATATCAATGCTGAACAGCCTTCGTCATTCGCATTATTCGTATATCGGCTTTCAGCACTGTAGTTTCAGTAGACAGCTTGTAATCGATTTAAATGAAAATGTGGATGATGCATCGATTTCACCGAATTGCATTTGGAAAACAGCTCAAGTTGATGAAGAAATAATAAATATTTACAGTAAACAACCAAGACCTTTTCAGCTCAACCGTTCGCGTGAGCACTTTAAAGGTTGGGTCAACTGGAATTGGCAACAAGATAAAGCTATTGTTTATGTCATACCTGAAGAAGGTTATATTGTCTTAAGCAAAAACAATGATGATGGTGTTTGTTCGGTGTCTGAATGGCAAGCGAAAAATCGAGAAATTGAAGAGAAACTGTTAGTAAGAGCATCATACAAAGCTCAACAATTAAATTCAAAACAAATTCGATTAGCAGCAACTCCGATCTTTGTTGATCAAAGATGGATTGAGAAAAATCTGGGAAGAATTGTTACAATTGTCGAGGATGATACAACTATGATTCGTAATATTAATCTGACAATGGATCAATTTGAAAAACTTACAGCGTCCTATACCACTGGTGAAGCAATTATGTGGCCTGCTGATTATTTTTAAATAAGTCAAAATGAATAATATATGTTGGTATAAGACACTAGTCAGGAGCCCTATCATTTTCTTTATTTACTGAAATAAATAAATCATTGAAACTTTATTTGATTCTCTATTAACCAATAACATTGTTATTTTTTTCCATTCTTATCTTTTCGTCTGGTAACATCACGTCGAGAATGTGTACAAGACACGAACATATACATATTTCATTTCTAACGTTTCCATTTATCTTGATAAGATGTCAGTAGTAACATTATTTGAAAGTTTATCAAATGAATTAATTATTGAAATATTTGAATATTTTAATGGTTATGAAATTTGTAAATCATTTTCAAATTTGAATTCACACTTTCAACAATTAATTAATTCATCATTTGTTTTATTTAAATTTTATTCAAATGATTTTATAGCTGATAATCAACTTTTACTTAATCATAAACATCAACTTATTTCATTACAATATGATGCATCTCTTTCATCTTATTCAATTGATTCATCATTTAATCATCTTGAATCCCTTATTATTAATAATATTTCATCAATTAAACTTCTTTCTAATTTATCTTCATTACCTCGTCTTTATTCTTTAACAATCGATACACAATCTAGATTCGATGATTTAACTCAACTTTATCAATTAGTTTTTACTTTACCAAAATTAAAATATTTTAAATGTATATCAGAAATACGTACATTTTGTTATTTACCATCAATAATTAATGACAAACAATTAAGTAATATTGAATATCTATATTGTGATCATACTTGTACTATTAATGAACTTTCAACAATAATACCTTGTTTACCAAAACTTCGTTCTTTATCATTTTGTAATTCAAATCATGATGATGATGATGATAATAATAATGTTATTAAAAAAATTCAATCAAATATAACTCATTTATACATTCATGAAGATCCAATAACACTGAATAATCTTAAACTATTAATTAATGAAAATTTAGAAGTTTTATCATTAGATTTTGCTTATGAAGATATTGAATATTTTGATGCTTATCTATGGGAAAGTTTTATTTCAAAATATTTACCAAAATTAGAAAAAATTTATTTTACATTCGATACTTATTATGGTAATGATTATGAACCACCTATATTATATAATGGAATTCCAAATAAATTTAATTCATCCTTTTGGATTCAACGAAAATGGATTTTGGAAATAAGAATTATTTTTGATTCAATTTATTATTCAATAAATCCATATAAGTAATTTAATAAGAAAAATATTTTTTTAAAAGAATTTTTTCATATTTAGAAAAAGATGGTATGAAAATGAAAATGATTATTCAAAATTAGTTCATTTAATTATTGAAGATGATGATCCAGTTAAACCATTTACAATAAATCAATATTTAAATCATATATTAAATCTAACACAAATTTTTCATTTAGAAATTCAAGAAATAATTTCTTTGAATAAATTATCTCAAATTTTATTATTATTACCAGATCTTCAAACATTACATCTCGATTCAATATCATTTTTAAATTTAGATGATATATCTGATGAAGAATTTGTTCATTTTATCGCTCTAATAAAAAAAAATCAAATTAAAAAACTTTTTCTTGAAAAACGAATTGGAATTGATGCATTTGAATTATTATTTACGATTTTTCCACATTTAAATTATCTTCAAATCAATTGTCGTGATTATCAATATACTCAATTTTTATTAAAATATCTTTTAAAACATCAAAATAACAATTTAATTCGATTATTTTGTTTTTCAATTCCATTCGCTGATGATAAAATGATGAATAAATTAAAAAATTTAATTATTCAAAATTCTACCTCAAATTTTACGATTCAACGTGTTTCAGATCATATCCATGTAAATATTATTGAAAATTATTAAATTATTTTATCAAAAACCCATTATTATTGTATTATTTAACTGTTGTTTATTGTTTTAACTTTTACTTTTAATAAAATTGAACTGAAGATTTGTCTGAATAGCTTTCATATAGGAATTGCAGTTCTTAATATCTTGTTCGAATACTGTTTTCTCGATAGCTATTGTTATTTAATTTATCAAAAGTTTCGAAGATTCATTTTTTTCTCCCTTGTCTCAATATTTTCGGTATAGGAGAGACAAATTTACATAGATTAAAATATGATTTAATTTATTTTCATGAAAAAAATAAGCAGAAGTTGTTCTTTTTAAAGAGAGTCACCTGTTATTACTTGATTAAATATCGTATGATATTCGTCTTCTAAATACTTAATAGTTATTGATATTTATGATAATAAAGTTTAGAACACATTTTATCTCTTGTCGATAAAAGAGAAAAGAAAAAATAGTTCGTTTCTTATTTATTTAAACGTAATACATTATATACCAAAAAAAATATCACTTTATCGATGTGAAGTTAGCACAAAAATTAATCACATTCTCAGAACCAACATCCAGTTAGACGACAAGCACCAAATACCATCAACTTTACAACATTATTTACCATACAGATTCAAACTACATTTCACCACATCTTCCGAAGAAACCGAGCATCTTACTACCTTAGATTAACAAAATTTTCATGCTGTTATTAATTTACTAAGTACAGCCATGTTCATATTTATGTACTCTACAATGATGTTTTTGCAGTTCTGATTTTATGATTGATTAATTGTTGGCCAATGGGAATCTTTCTCTTTTTGTGCTAATTTCACATTGATTATCATTTTATTATAAACATGAATCTAAAAAGTAAACGAAACAATAATGAAATAATTCATCAAAATAAAAAACGAGAAGCTGAATGTAAGTTTTTGCCTTTATACATAAAATAAATCTCTTTTGTTTTCGTCTTTTAGCAACAAAAATTAGTAAAAATTTTGTATCACATTTTGAAAATTTACCAAATGAAATAATCTATGAGATATTTAGTTATCTTAATATTTATGATATTTATTATGGATTTTTTAATCTTAAAAAACGATTTGAAAATTTATATACTCATTTGAATCCTTATCTTCGAATTAATATCTCAACAATGTCAAAAATAAAATTCGATGATTATCATCAGAAGATTATTATACCTAATAGACAACGAATTTCTATTCTTCGTCTATCAAATCCATTTACTACTGATATTATATTTTCACCACCAAAAATCATTCTAAAATTTATTCAACTTAAAACATTAATTCTTGATAAAACTGATTCAACATATTTAAAGAATATTCTAAAACATATGATTCATTTACCAGAATTATCTTCATTAAGTATTAATTTAATTGATTTTATTAAAAATTCAACTGAATTTTATCTTCAAATATTTCGTTTACCTAAATTAAAATATTGTAAACTTAATTTTCAAATAATGGATCATTTAGATATATCATCAACATCAACCAATATTGTCAGTCCAATTGAACATTTTGTTTATGAACCTTTATTTCCAATTGAATCATTTGAGAATCTCTTATCATTTCTTCCTCACCTTCGTCACTTATCAATTCATAATATTCATGATTATCGTCATAGAGGGACAAATTTCTCTCCCCTTAGATTAAAATCTTTTACAAATATTTCGCTTAAACTTTCTTCTATGAATTTTAATCGATTAGAAGAAATTATTAAAAATTATTTTTATTATATTGAAGTTTTACATATAACATCATGTGATGATTCAGAATTTTTAAATGCAAAACGATGGGAAAGATTAATTATATCTTTTATGCCAAATTTACGTATTTTTAATATGAATCATACTGGTCTAGCAGATAAATATCATGATGTAATTAATCAATTTAATTCATCATTTTGGATTACTAAACAATGGTATTTTACTCATGAACATATTACAAAAGATAATTCTCAGACTAGAATATTTTATTCAATGAATCCTTATCGGTAAAAATAAATGATTTTAATTTGAAATTTATTCTTTTTTTTCTCGTTATTTAGAAGAAAATGTTATACATTAGATTGGCAAAAAAGTGAACAAACTTGTTTAGATATCAAAGAGAATAATTTTCGTTCAGTTAAACATGTTTTTATTGATGGTAAACAAGTATCAAAGAATTATGTAGATTATTTTTCAAATGCTACTGAATTAACTATTAATAGTTTTGAAAATGAATCTCATATTTCAATTTCAACAATTCTTAATACAATTTTTCCATTAAAACAAATAACTAAAATAACAATTGCTCATTGTATTTTTTCTTTTGAACAACTCTTACAATTATTATGTGTTTTACCTAATTTACATGAAATTAAATATTATCTATCATTTTTTATTAGAGTTGATTTAAAATTAATTAAGCAAAATGAAAATTTTCAACATGTATCAACTCAAAATAAAGTTAAACGATTAGAAATTCTTCCTGAAGGATGTACAATAGAACAATTTCAATTTATTCTTTATTTATTTCCTCAATTAGAATATCTTCATGTGGGAATGGGAAAAGTAGAGATTGAAACATTTATTCCATATTTATCCTCAAGGCCTTTTGTTCAAACACATCCTCTATTCTTCTTACGTATTGGTCAATTACGAAAAAAATCTATTCCACAATTAAATCGACTCATGAAATTAAATCATTTACATGATCATTATCTAATTAAAATTGTCTATTGTGATTTATACTTATGGTGGTAAAAATCTTTATTTCATTTTTTGTATTCTATAGAATTTATTTCGAAATAAAAATCCGGTACTTATGTCATAGAGTTAATCAATTTTATTTCTTTTTCTTTGTTTTGTAATAATAATTCAAACAAATCTATTTTCGAAAAGATTTAGCTAATGAAATCACATATATCAACTATTGATATGATTTTTTATCCAGCATATATATTATAACTAAATTCATTCATTTATCGAAATTATATTTAACACTTTTTTTAAGCGCAACAAGAGAAAAGTTCAGTTAATTTTATTTTATATTTACAATTTTGAGAGTGATTATTTTTCCTTTTTTTTCTTATATTTGCTCATAGCTTCATATATTTGAAATATATTTAAATAACATAGTGAAGTCCGCTGCTAACTAATAGAACAATCCATTATTTATTTCAACATACATGAAAAAAAAAATATAAAACAACCGTGAAAATATTCTATTCCCGATATTTCTAATTCTATCTATGAAGATATATATTTCTTTAATTTAGTTATCAATCGGTAAGAGAATTACAAAGATAAAATAAATGTAGTTTTTCTCTTTGATCTTTAAAAGCCTCAACTAAGTTGTCACGCTGTAATTGTGAAATAGACAATTTCAATTGTCCTTTTCTGCCATACACTATGATGATGTTGTCTTTGTCTATAATAGCAGTTTTCCTTACCATTTTGAGCGTGTCAGTGTGGGTGTGAGTTTAATAGAATAAAGAAACACCCACACTCTCAAGCTGAAGTTAATAAGATCTTTACCGTTATAGAATAAAAATTTTACGACTAAAGAAAGATTTTATTCCCATGTAGATAAATAGAAAAATGGGTTTTATAACAAGATTAGCAATAAACGACTGTTTTATTACCAACAGCAGCTCACTTTATGACATTGATAACAACAAAATGATGTATAAAAAGGTATACTCGTTCATATACCATCTTTTATCATATATACTAGTCTTTTGGAAGAAAACAAAAGGTAATAGAAGGTAAGAGCCTGATAAAAATAAAAATCGGTCTTCGTTATTGACTTCATGTCTAATCTTCAAGAATAAAAAAATCATTGTTCTTTATCTTTTAAGCAATGATTTTGTAAAACCTAGTTATCATGCTAACTCATCGATGACTGAAAAAAACCACAAGAGAAGCTGGTAAATCTATGCGAAAAATTATTTTCTGTTGATGTTAGATAGAGCGATATAGCCAATTGAAAATAGTTAACAATAAGAAGAACATGCGCTTATAATTTGATTATTCATTCATTTAGGGGAAGGAATAGTAGCTTTATAAAACACTCTTATACACTCATGTATGTATCTTTTTGAGCATGAGCAGAGTCGAAACGCAAGAGACAAAAACATCTTGAGGGTGGGTATGGGTGTGAATATTCTTTCTTGGTTTAACGATATCCATGTCCATCCTCGCACCACACTCTCACACCCACTCATCGTAGGAAAAAGTAGAAAGTGAAACTTTCCTCTTTCATTCCTTATCTGATCATATGGATTTGTCGGTTGTTGTAAACTGCAATCTTACTCTGTAAAACTTAAGAACTTTCCAACACCAATGGGCAGCTGATTTCTTTATTTATTTCTGCATACCTAGCTAATTCATACAAAATAAACGCATCAACTAATATCACTTTATCTCCTGCGATGGTGAACCCTTGTTCTACTTGCAGAACGGAGCCACCTGGTTGTCAGAAGGATCCACTGGAAGAGTGTCAAAATAAAAGCACTTGCCAATGCAAATGTACTGTTAGCAGTAACAAAGATGTGATGGAAAAAGCTGTGGCTATCGGAGAGGGAGTAGCACTGACTGGTTGTGGTCTTGTATTAACTCTAGGTAGTGGTGATATATTAGGAGTTTTAGTTGGCGGTACATATTTGGCCGGTGGCATTAGTTCTGCTGTTCATGAAACTAAAAAGACAATTGAAGTTGAAAAAATTAATCCTGAATCATTTTTGGCCGATCTTGAACCCGGAGTAGCAATCGGAGCGTTAACTAGCGGAATTGGTGCTGCTGGTGCCGCATCCAGAGTTATATCGAAAGAAATGGATGACGCTATACATGGAGAAAGTGATCCTTCGTCCGCTACATATATAGAAAGTGCTGTTGAGGGAGCTATTGACAGAGCCGACAGCCACGTCAGTTCCAATATAACTAAAGTAATCCCCACGGATATTGAAAAAAATAGCGCACGAATTGTCACTACTGCAACAACTGCTGGCGCTGCTGATGCATCAGTTCAAGAAATCAACATGCCTGAGAAAAATCAAGAAGAATATGATGTCGACCGAACTGTAAAAAGTGCGGCGACAGGCGCTACTGTGGCAACCGGCCAAGAAGTAATAAAAGAAGAACTCTATCGTGCAAACGGTGGTAAAGATAATTCTCTCCATGAAAAAATAAACGAAAAATTGATACAGGGTAGTTTTCTGATGATGTGGTGTAACATTGGGATGACAAGTTTTCTGATTGCGATGAATCTTTTACTACAGACGCAAAACAATATCTTGAAGGTGTGCGTGTAGATAAGGGTGTGCACATTCAATCAACCCACATCTACACCAACACCGCTTCCATCATCCTCGATCTCAGCCTCACCCTAAGTTCAAACTCTTAGAAATCGCCGTTTCTAGAAAGATTCAGCAAAGTTTGAAGAAAATGGAGGGACGATGGGCTATTAGTTAGAATTTTTCGTGCTGTTTCAGAATCTAAACTCAGTTTTTAGCTAAGATGCTTCCTGCCTGGAAAAATGTGAAAACCGCTGGAAAACCAAGGTTTTGAGCAGACAGTACATTTGTACTGATACATTTGCGGAGTTTTTACTAGGCAGCATAGATGCTATTACAACCAATAAGTATTTCATAAAAGTTTCAGCTTTAGTGGAATTAGACGTTGTGATCAGTTTGGGAGAACAGTAAATATCAGCATAATTCTATTTTGTCCCAGGAGAAATATAAAAAAAGCTGCAGTTTGCTTTCTCGATGCTTTTAGGAACTAGATTCATATTCTTCTCACGAGCAAATTCGTCGACATTTAGCGTATACGAAGCTCTAATAAAGCTTTCAAAAACTACTTTTTTGTGTTTCCGAAAATGTCGACATTATTGCGCACTACAGGGACGATTGGATTCATTCCCAAGAGAAAGAAAGAGTAAGATGTTTATTTGCAGAAGTACCTGTGAAAAAGAATCAAAAACTTTTCTATATGTGTTCGAATATTTGCCTATATAACTGAGAAAGGATACCCGCACATTCGAGTGATCCGGATAGTTACACGCGGATAATTGTTCGATGAATATTTACTTGCTATGGCTATCAGTATGAGCAAGTGTGTATACGAACAACTGTCCTAGACTCACCTTTGGCTGGTGTTTTGTCCTTACCCCAGCTATGAGGCTAGTGACTGATCGAAAACTTTTCCTATCAGGCTCAGACGCAGATTTCGATTCTAGATTTACTCTGCCTTTTACTTTTTTTGAAAACAAGCTACGAAAACAACTATTGCAGAACTCCTTTCTGAATTTTTCGAATTTTTCAGTTTGCGAACCTTGAAAGGTATACTTACAAAGCACATAGATGAGTTAAGTTTTCTCTGTGTCCTCAAACTGTTGTTTTGTATCTCTAGTAAAAATTTTATCGAAACCAGAAATCTTCTTGTCCCAATGTTATACTATTTTATCGGAAAATATTTTTTCTAGAAAAAGTTCCCGAAGATGTTCAAAACGATGTAGTTAGTGGATATGAAAACTTGAAGAAAATACCTGAAGGTGCATTAGAACGAATACAAGAACTTAATTTTCAATTTGAAGGTGTAGACATTGGCAATTTCCATGAAAAAAATTTGATTCTGGAATGTGACAACCAATTGCTAGTATTAAGAAACGAATTAAAGACTGTGATAGGTCAGTTAAAGGCTGCAGCCGCATTAAAGACTGCGTCATCTGAGTCAATGACTGTACTCGGACATCAGCAAGTGAAACTTCGAGAAAAGATAAAGAGTGTAAGTCAAATGAGAAAAGCAACAATTGCCATGCTTGTACCCGAACCACCATCATATTTTTTTATGAATGAAGACAATGCTCATTTACTGGCAGGAATTAAGAAAGGACAAGTGGCTTTTGATATTAAAACACCGGGCGTTGAAGGAAGAGGACTAAGAAGAGCAGTATTTGACTTTGATCCTAAAGCTCCGAAAGGTACAGAGCTCAAATTCGTCGGTTATACTGATGATCACGATTATTCAAAAGTGCCAAATTTTGGTGAAGGAGATTATGATTCAATTCGAGACTCTTACAAAACAGCATCCACTTTAAACAGTAATTTTACCGACAACCAAGTAATTCAAAATCAGTAGTAGTGCAAGCAAGACGGAAAAAAAGACGACTAAAAGTATTCAAATATTTATGTTTTCGAACTCCTCTTAAGAATAAATAATCAAGAGAAAACTTTTTTCTAAATAAAAATAAAAACTTTAAAAATATAACTGTTAAAAAGGTAATTGCTATATTTTTTCATAAATAATTATAATATGATTCATTGAATAAGACAAAAATACAAATAAAACGTAATTTTAATGTTATAGTAGAAATTATTGATGTTAATAAAAACGAGTAAAATCTAAATGTTTCGACTGATTTCAATAGTCATTAACTAGAGTTAATTGAGCATGTGTTACTGCATATTGGAGGAAATATCCTGTATTCACTAATAATAATAAGATAATTAATCAACTTTCGGTAATAGATGGTGAAATCATTCTCATTAATAACTACTGAAATTAGTCGAAATGTCGAGATTTTATTTATTTACATCAACATCAATAATTTTCACTTTGAAATTAAAAAAACTGGTGTATGTTGGCGAAATAAAGCTAATCGACGTTCTACCTATTCTGTAAAAACAATATATATATATATATTTGCCTTTACAATATAATTACCTGTTATTCATGAAGACATATCATACTTTATGATTGTCTCATCAACAAAATTTAAAACAACATGAACAATAATGGTTGTATTGACGAAATACGGTTAACGGAAGATTTATCTATCGTTTCAATCGAGATAGAAGTTGTAAGCACCCTACGACGTGTCTGTGCCGATAAGTAGGAAGAATGTTTTACGCTATCTATTTGTCTCTTATAAGTGATGTATTAAAGGTTTATTCTTATCCATCACATCTCAATAGATGCAGGACATACTTATCGTATATTCGATTGTCCTTAAACATTTGTTCGTTCTGTTTATTCTTTCAATGTAATCACATTGAGCTGAAATATGATAAACCTTCATTCTATTTATTCTCTCAATGTAATTACATTGTTCCTCTTTTATATTGTAGAACCTTCCTTCCTTTTTTCAGCCAATGATCTTCCCTTTTCTTCTTATTCTTGTTCATCTATAATATGAACTTCATATTAAGATGATGTTGTATATGATAGAAGTAGAATATGTATAGTAGGAGAATAAATAAAATATAGTGCTGTGAACGAAATGTATGTTGATTATCATAGGTGGGAGTGTGGGCGTGGGTGTAGGTGTGAGTGATATTCTTCTTATTACCCACACCCACCCTTTTGTTTTGCGCCGCACTTTCTCGTAGAGAAGAGTCCAGTAAACATAAATTGTTTGATTGATTGCTTGCTTGCTTGCTTGCTTGTATGTCCGCAGGGTCAAAAAAAACATCGAAAACCAATTTTCAGGAAAAGACATTTCTAGAGGTATTTCGATACGGGGAGTTCGAATTTGAGGTCTGTTGGGTGGCCATGGTTAGGGGTGGGTGGGTGGATGGGTGTGGGTGAAAGGTCAAAAAAACATCGAAAACCAATTTTCAGGAAAAGACATTTCTCGAGGTATTTTGATGCGGGGAGTTCGAATCTGAGGTCTATTGGGTGACCATGGGTAGGGGTGAGTGTGGGTGAAAGGTCAAAAAAACATTGAAAACCAAATTTTCACGTTTTTTATTTGTTTTTCCAGTAAATGTGAAGAGAATGGATTTCTACGAGAAAGAGCTAAGCGAGTCCTCGGACGAGCGTTACTTGTTCTTCTTATTACCCACACCCACCCTTTTGTTTTGTGCCGCATAGAAGTCTCAGTTAATTTGTAATGTTAAATATTTCAACTTCTTCTCATTTAAATAAATATAAATATTTATATTATTACTGTCATCATATATTTTTAACTTCAGAATTTAATTTCTTTTTTTTGTTCTTTTTTATCTTCATATGATTATTTCTATGTATTTGACAAAAATATGTATGCGAGCGTATATGTCTCCCTCATGTACTCTATATCTCGGTTTCTATTGTCAGTAAAGACATAAAAATTTGGCTAGAAATATTTCTTGGAAAGATATAAAAAGTAGATGTTGAATCTTTGCAAATAATCTATTCACAAATATTTCGTTGATTTAAAGGTTTGTATTTCATGAGAAAATAGATCTAAGATGCTTGTAAAACAAATTGGCATTATCAATAATGAAAAGCAACTGAGTATGATGAATAATTAACTAAAAGATTTCATCATACTTTAGTTTTTATTAATGAAAATTACAAAAAAATCTGTGAAAATAGGAACGACCCCGTAAAAATTTATACATTTCAATTCAAATATCTTACATATGAAAAAACAAAAATTTAAAGTAGAGTTTTAACACTAATAAGAAAACAAAATTTAAACAAAAACTTCAGCTGGATTTATTCCTTCAGGCCGTGCAATTTTTGTATGTGAATTTTTAATTGATTATTTTCTTGTGCCAGCTTATATGATAAATATTTCATTTCTTCAATGGGCATATTGTTAATGGATGCTTCAGTCACATTTTAATTAAATATGCGCGATTCAACGACCATCTTGAGGGTGGGTGGGTGTTTAGGAGTGGGGGATATTGGTTTGTTCTTCACCTACACCCACAACCTCACGAAATATTTAAATTGAATTATTATAAATTTGAATATATTCAACGGAAAAAAAGATTTGACTGACTAAATAAAAAAATGGGTATTGAATTACGAAGAGTAAAATCATTTGAGCGTAAAAACTCATATGACAAAGTGTTTTTATAGAAAATTCATTACGAAGCAGAAAAAATATATAAAATAATTAGTATACTTACAGCTATCAATAAGATTTTATTCACATGTTTGGCCACAATGACCGCATTTTCAGCTTTGGCTGATTCCACTTTTCTTAATATTGATGAAATTATTCCACCCTCGTTTATCATGGAAAATCATAAAGCTTCCATTCGACTTTTGAATTTCTTCTTGAATTGGATAAAAGTTATGACTTACTGCCAACGCGAGTGGTGAGGAGAACTGTAAATACAAAATATAATTTAGATATTCTTATTGATATTGATATGAAGTATAGATACTTACTCCTGTGCGGATTGTGATGTCCACCTGCATTAATCCACATTCGGCTACTAGCACTTTTGGGAACAAAGCTGGGTTATGAAATTCGTATGGCCCGGGATCTTCACCTTGCAAGGCTAAAAGGAATATCATCTTGTCAAGATTTAAAAAGAATATGATCAATATGTACTTACCAGTGGGCAGTGCCATGGTTACTTGATACACTGGCTCTCCTATCTTGTAACCCAGTAGGACTATGGGGCCAGTAATTCTATGTCCAGCTTCAATATTGCCTGATAACGTTGGTGTGACTGGAACCAAATCATCTGTCATAGTGCTGGCATCACGACGGGACCAACATGGCCAGATGGTTTCTATTTTTAACAGAGTTAAAGTTCTATAAATTGTAGCATAATGTTACTTACCTGACTCGCCACGCATTAACATGCTAGTGTCAGCAGTTTCTATACTTTCACATAGAGAGATAACTGAAGTTATACTCTGTTGAGAATTTAAATTCATACTTAATCCTGTTTATATTCACAACATCTTGAAGGTGGATGGATGTGGGTGTGGATGCGAGTGCGGATGTGATATACGAATAACACCCACACCCACACCCACACCTACATCCTCAAATTTTTCTAGTTTATTCGATATTTTTTTGTCTTTGTTTTGGTTTTTAAATAATGCAAAGTAATTGCCCATAACTTTTTTAAGTTTTGTATCGAGTACTGGATCATTTAGATTAGAATATTTTGTGTATGCTATTTATTTAAAAAAACTTAGTCGATTATAATAAATATAATGTTGAACTTACCAACAATAGCATCAACTATAGAACTGTTGACGTCAGCAAGAGTAGCATCAGGTTCAGGATCAGGACACTTAAATTTGATTAAAACTCGTGCTGTGGCTACTGACGTTTTTCTTTTACACATATATGCTGTATATTCAGTGACACCTAACTTTCTCATTATCTCGCTCATTGGATTAATTGATGCTCTGTTCTGTAAAATATCAGCTGTATCGACAAAATATTTGATAACTTCAGGGCGCTTTGGTCATGCTAAAATTCCATATGTATATACTAGTTTCCCAATGTAGTCGATCGTCAAATGAGATTCTTTTCATAGAATTATCTCTAATTGTATGATTTCAGTTTTACCGTTTTCTTCTCGCTTTTCATACAAGTGCGTCATTATATCAGTTAGTAGTAGTTAACAGATTTGCGTATTAGTCTACTGATTACAAAATTATGTTCAGAAATGTTTTTACTACACAATGAAAGATTAGATGTGAGGTTTTTCTCTAGAAGATCCGTTGTATAGTCTCCTTGAACGAATATAGCTTTATGTAAGCGGTTTGCTGTATAAATTTATATGGCATAAGATAAATGTTGCATAAATTTATTACCATTTGTTCTATGCCGTATAGATTTATAGAGAATGAAATTAAGAAGGTGGATGTGTTTGTTCTCGACATCTTTTTTTTCTTTCTTTTTCTTTCCTTTCTTTGGGCTGACTCTACACGCACACACTTTCATCATTTTAATATAGAGAAATAAAGGTTGGTGCGCGAGAACAACATACACACTAACACACTTTATCTCTATTTTCTTATCGTCATTGAAAGAAGAAAGTTAATGGGTAACGGACCACCGAAAGTTGTAAATAACCCTGATGATTCTCCCATCGAAGTATACATTGTATTAAAAAAACGCGATGGCGACTCCTACACATGGGATGATAGTGTCTCTCATCACATCTGTCTGCTAAAACAACCAAACGGCAAGTTTTACTATACTGCACTATTCTC